TCAGAAACAGTGAAGTCCTGTGCCAACAGTGAAGGGAACAACACAGAATCATCTCACATCAAGACTTATCTCTTCCTGGAAGTAAGTGATAGCACGGAACACTACTCTTCCAGAACACATTAACGGTCTAAATAACATCAAAGTAATATCCACGTGGGTAAAGAAAGAAGCCATTTAACTAGTGGATGAAAGGTATGCGCCCCTGTGCAACATCGGACAGCGTGGGAAGTAGATGTCAAAAGATTGGTTAAGTACTCGTTTATTCTACAATTTATTCCAGCGCCCGTTCCTCCGATTCTAAGCTGATAGGATGCTAATCTGAATGTCACAGAAGATGACAAAAAGGACGTGAAAACCTTCGGGGGCCTACGCACAAAAAATGTACTCCAGTATTAGTCGATTCTTCACCACAATTCCGTTTATATCAGTTAAAGCCCGAATGCTTTTTCAATCCATCACATCCGGGACGAATGGAATCTCCATCAACATCCCTGATGAGTCAGGCAAGGAGCAGTTTACCAGATCACCTAATTCGTTGGAGTCGGTACTATTAAGAGTAGCATAACTGAGATACCCTACTCCTAGCCCAGTTGACGATGCTTCAGCTAGTAACTCATACACTTCACTCAGTTATCTTCCCTCAACTCTGCCATTAGGACCATTTTTAAAGCATTTTATTTTCATCAGTGAAACAAGGTGCAACAAAGATGTGAACGAGTCTCAGTTTAATGTCCTGTGTAGTCAATTGTTCCGGAAAGATGGCATACGCAAGCGCCGTGGTAAATACACTGTCTACACCTGAAACAGTATTACAGCGGTAGCCATTTAGCGGTTAGCTCTAAATGAATATAAACATACCGTACGATTGGCAAGTTCGTCTACTGATCCGTTAAATAGTATCTAATGGACCACCAGGGTCATTTATTTATCCAAAAAACAACTGATGCCATTGATGCCGCCTCTGATAATCCACACAAGAACAAATTTGCAGGTGGAGATTTCAGGTTGCTATATCATGGCTGGATGCTACCCACACCCGCAACGACCAAGGGGCTGTGGAAATAACATAGCGTCCAGGTTACTGATTGTACTCCACAGGGCAAAAGGAAAACACCAGAAGAGCCAGCAAGTCAGATTTGACATTCCCTATAGGTAGTACAGCCGACGACCCACTGAAAGGCCGTGACCACAATATGATGCTTTACATCATGTACACTATTACACTAAATTGGAGGTTTTGAAAACCACATTGGATGTTTTGCAAAACAGTTTGTGCAGTACTGCTGGGTTACTATTCTAACGCTATCTTGAATGACCGCAGTTGGCAACTGGTCAGGCGTCGGATTGGTCAGCAGTCCACTCACTGACGCTTTCACTCTCGAAAGCATGTGTTCTAGTGGGTATGGAATGTACGAGTAAGACGACAGGAACTGCAACAGATAAGACGAGCCCAGGATCCTCCTTAGATTATCCGTTAGGTAGATCCTGGCGTTGTCAACTAGAGGACAGCAAAAAAGGTTAACATTTCTTATAAGAGAGAATGCACCAACACTCAGCGCAAATGTGGAGGAAACAACAGGGAGAAGCGGACACTCGTGCTACAGCATGTTAAATAGATGGCTTACCGGAATTCCTAGGACAATTTGGTGCAGCTGCAGCAGCGGCTGAAACGGGATCCACCTATTCGTATCTACTGTCTTCAACGCCAATAGAAGGCTAAAAATAACGCACAAGTATTGCCACTAGGAACTAGACCGCGACAACAGTGCCAGGACAATCGTAACGTAGCAGACCTACACAATCTACATCTCAGTACATGCCCTACTCCTGTATGATAAGTTCGGCAGTTTGGTTTGAAAAAAGTCCACTTTAAAATGAAAAATGGTGTATTAACAAGAGAGCAGTCAAGTTAGATACGGTCAGTTAATGAAGGGCTGTCCGGCTGCTGCGCTTATCGGGGCTTAGCATGATACTGAGGACGCAATCCGTGCAGTCCTGCTGGGTTATCATCCCATCGTCCTCTTGGATGACCGCAGTTAGTGTCTGGTGAGGCGTCGGGTTGGTCGGCAGGTCTCCGCCGACGCTTCCACCATCAAAAACACGTATTCTACTGGATTTAGTATGTACGAGTAAAGCGAAAAGAAGTGCAACTGATAAGGAGCCCAGGATTCTCCTTAGATCATCCGTTATGTAAATCCTGGCCTTATCCATTATCAGCCACGCACTCTGCAGCGTATACGCTTCAGCAGTTCCTCGACGAACATTGAGTACTTTACACAATCGCAGGTGTCGTCACTGATAAGCTTTGAGTGGACGATGCCTTGGTTATTCATTGCCACAACCAGCATTACTATGCTGCCTCTGACTGTGGGCATGAGGACGTAAGCGCGCGTCCCTCTTCTTGAGCGAGGTTACGTACGCTACAGATTGAACCCGTTATCACCTATGAAGATGGATTTCCCTTTGTCATGTGGTGCGTGTACCGAGAAGTCAAGGGCGTAGGCTTGCCAGCTTGCGATGGTCGTTGCACTGTTGAAGCGGTCTAGCTCGTAGTGGGCGCAATTTTGCGCTATTTTAACCTCCTGATGGCGTTGAAGACAGTAGATACGAATAGGTGGATTCCGTTCTCACTCAGGCGCTGCTGCAGCTGCACCAAAGTGTCCTAGGAATTCCGGTCAGCGGTCTATTTAACATGCTGTAGCACAACGAGTGTCAGCTTCTCCCTGTTATTTCCTCCACATTTGCGCTGAGTGTTGGTGCATTCTCTCTTGTAGGTAATGATGACGTTTCTTGGCGTACTCTCGTTGACTCCACGAGTTCCGCAGTTTCGTGGGTGGTTTCTACCGTTGATGAACACGTTTGGTGAGGATCTCTTTCTGTGCTGATGATGTTGGGTTGTGCCGCAGAAGCCTAGGAGATGCGTTCTCTCGTCGTTCGACGCTCATTTTGCTCATTTCGTACAGCACAAGACTAATAAAGCTATACTGGATTTGATGGAGTCATGATAGCCTAGACTGTTCCAATTGTCGTGCAGCTGCATAGATTCGCTCACACACCCACACAAAATACGCGAAGGCCCATAGTGGGACAGGAAGCAACTGGGTCACCGGCTTTGGTAAACCAGAACGACGCCTATGACCAAGAGAAGGGCTTACACAATCGCCCACTGCTTGCAATTCTGTTGCATTCACGTGAGCACAGTGTGGCCTGGACATCATCCAGTCGTCTTACTGCCCTTTCTGTGTTAAAAAATTGCAGCAGTAGGCCAATAAATATATGCTGCGTTTAGCGGAGTCATGATAGTCTACACTGCTCCAATAATCGAGCAACTGCACAGGTTCGCCCACACACCCACACAAGAAATGTGAAGGCGCGCAGAGGGACATGGGGCAACTGGGTGACCGCCTAACTGCTGCAGCATTCACGGTAAAATGATTGAATTGGCCCCAATTTACTTCAGTGGGAACCGCGGTCCAAATTGAGACTGCGCATCACAATCCATTCACAAAACGAGCACTTCACAATGACCCTCCAAAGCTATGTAACACTTGTTTGAGTCAAAGAAGACTACGCGATTCGAGAGCCTGACTTTCCAATTGCCGCACGGCTACACAGTTTCATGCGTACAGGCACAGCCACATAAATTACGCGATGACCGATGGGGGAAAACTTAGCTGCCGTCTGTGATCGAGAAGATCGAGGTTCGCGATTATGTTCCAGATCTGGCACCTTTTGGTTATTATTTCTTCCCGTCTCTACAAAATTTTTACACGGTAAAGCCTTTACCTCCAATGAGGTCAAAAATGACCTGCATCAGTTTTTGCCAGCAAAGAAAAAGAATTTTATGAGCGTGGAATCATGCTACTTCCAGAAAGATGACAAAGGGTATTGGATCAGAATGGAGAATAAATAATTTGTAAAAATATTCATTCATTATAAGAAAATCATTTTCATTTTTATCGAAAAACACGAAATTACTTTCCGAACAACCATAGAAACAATACCAGCGAATACACTGTATTGACGTTTTGCTAACACAAAACCACCATCAGTCGCTGGAGATACTGAGATCCCCCGCACCTATTCGGTTATAAAGTTCGACGCAATTTGAATACTCACTGCAGCAAGTGTGCGATGATGGGAATATAGACAACCTGAGTAGTAAAGCTTCGTTAGCCAGAACATCAACAGGGGTCGAGGACCCCGTTTCTCTTAACTTGAGCAGCTAAGAAAAATTTGTGCAATTGATGACTGTGCGAACTGTAGATGGACACATCACAATGAAGAAAGCGACGCCCATCATGTTCGGCAGTTTTCCAAGTACTGCACAGCTAATTGGACAGATACAAATACGCCAAACAAGTGACTGTTGCGGTGTTTCTAAATGTGACATCTACTTCGCAGCTCATAAATCCAGACCAAACCATGACGTATGCACTGCGCCAAAAGTGCTGTCCTGACTTCATAGTTTAACAATTAGTCACTCGCAAATGAAACCTATTCTTCAGTAACGATAAGGTGGGCCTGTCGATGCCGTCTCAGGCAAACACTAAAATAAAGCAGACACCGTTCAGTTGTCAGTGAAGCACTGCTAAGCAAGGAAAAACTGATGCCGTGAACTGACGTCAGTTGTTACTCTGTGCACTGCATAGAAAGCTGGAAATGTGGAATGTGCGGTTGCTCATCCTCTGAGGATGATGAACCGCTTTTTAAATGAGTTGAAAATAGCGCATCAAATTATTGAGTAGTACAACTGGGGAAGCCTCGACAATTTGTAATCAAGGAACAAGTAGTCAATGCTTTCCAACAGTGCCAATTTAAAAGGGTGAACTTAGACTGGTCGAAGTTCTTAAATAAAATGAAAAGCAACGAAAAAACAAGAGTGTACGGGCCGGAACTGTGGATTGAAAGAAACGGCATCAGCAGGTAACTTGGGGGAAACTATATAGTAACCTGCAACATTGCAAAATGATTTGACGAAGCGAAAACAGATAACTTACAGGATCGCTTATATCGATTACCAACATTCGCGTTAGGTACCATATCAGATCCCGACCAACAGAACTTCGAAGAGTCGGTCGGGGCTGAAGTCAGACAAGGTCGTGAATTTGTGAGCACATATTTGGTGTTCCCTGTAATGGGCTGTTCACCAAAGACAAATGTTGAGTGGTTTGTATCAGGATCATTCAACGACGAATAAACAGGCTTGGTGACAATATCTGCATCGAGATTGCCATGAATCATTACAGCAGGTGCAGCAACTGAATCCAAGAGATGTGGCTGTTGGTAAAGCCCTGAATAAAAGGACCAAGGAGCGAGACAAGTGTCCGGCGTTTCTGTGGGGATGTCTGTCCCGTCGCATGGGATAGCTCCGTTTGCACTCCCCATGGAGGTCTGGAAGAGACTTCCACAACTGGTACCGGTAGAAGACGGTGTAAGATGACCGAATTCCATGCTGGCAAAGGTCGATGAAGATGGCGACGGCTCAAATGATGAGATTCCGCTCTCGGGACTGCTATCTGTGGGTAAGATGGTCGGAACAAAATGAATGAGTACACCTCCACCAGTTATGTAAAAGAGGAAAGTGATGGGCCACAGGCCTGGGGAAATGTCCTAAATGACAGGATAGAACTTCCCCGTGTTGTGGAATAATTAGCTCTTGAGATTAGCCACTGACTGACACTGCCTTCTATCGAGGCTAGTAGCCATGTGACCAGATATTCGAAAGGAAGTAGTTTGGTAATGTTCCGCTCGGGTGTAAAGTATCGCGCATTCACAGACAAAGTTAACACTGCATGCGAAAGATGCAGTATACCATTTGTTTGACTAATCAAGATGCATTCAATGACTTGAGGTAAGATAAGACGACATAATGCTAGTGCAAAGATTTCTCACTAGTAAAGCTTCCTAGGCAGGAGAAAGCCACGGTAATGTCATTGGTGCTACTGAGGCTGGCAAAAGTTAATGTGCCCCAGCTTGGTAGGTAACAGAGCCGACCTACATAATTGTCATAAGACCAGGCGACGAGCCTGTTAGTAAAGAATATATAGTGTTATGTGCAATGTGACTGCAACGAAGTCACGGAGAGCGAAAACTGGAAGAAGTGGCTGAAAGACTTTAGACTCTTTAAAGTACTCCACTTAAACGTGATGGTCCCGAAAGATATGCAGTAAAACCTCCGTAAGTTGATCACTCAAGGGAAAGGACCAAAGCGGTCACAACATACAGAGGGCTGGATGCACAAGGAGTACATGGTAAACATTTAAGCAAGGAAAACACCGGTCAACTTAGAAGTGATCAACTTCGGGAGGATTTTCTGTACGTGAAAATATCAACAATGGCGAAGTCATCCTGTAGGCCAAAATTATCCCAAGTGGATGGTGTTTCCTCATGACGTTTAGAAAAGCATTATGTTAAGGATTGTGCAGTAACTACCCCGACATCGGTGGTGTAGGTATTAAAGGTCTGTAATCCTCGGACATTCATCAAAGCAGCGCCTCCAGCCTGGTAAGTACGAGTAAAGTTGACACTATTAAACGTGCCCAGTCGGACATGCTCTATTCTATACGCCTTCGCGACATGGCCCACATGCGGTGAAAGACAGCGTGAGCAACCAGCGTGCTCCGTGTCGCGTATTTAGTGCAGGAAGAGCTAGTAAACCGCTCACCAATGCTATTTCACGTAAGACGCTTCGATGGCTCGGTCAAGTGTAGTGTATGCTATAACACACTCTTTCATCGCACGTTCTTTGCGCGACCGGAGACTAAAGACAAAAGGAAATTTGATGTATCCCCAACCTGGATTGCTTACATGAGGACACGATATCTCTATTCCCTGACTATTCTGCTCATTTTACATTGCTTTACTGCGTCCTAAAATCGGTTATCATATCGTATGTTTCTTCCTTCCACTCCATCACTGACATATCCTTGACGTTTCAAGATCATTCATATTATTACGTTACTGTGACACTGCCCAAATACTCGCACGCCGCCGCACACTGTACAATTTCTGCCCTCTTGCACTACGATTGCAAAACCTATTCGTAAGTCATGTACTGTATTTAATATGTCTTATAGAACCACGGTTACAGGATACTTCGTTTTATTCGTCTGCCCAGACAGTGCGCTAAGTCTAGGTTTATTTGTTCGTAGTTTCTAGTTTAGTTTCCGTATTACGTACTTAGTTTAGGCTTCGTATCGTTGGTACATAGGTTGAATAGTGCAATCATGTCCGTTTCTGGTGATTCTATTGATGATATTAACTCTACTGGTGCTGAGAAGCTTCAAAGAGCTGGATCAGGTATTCACCTGCTAGAGTCGGCTTTAACGAGCATGCGCATGCTGCAGGCGAAGACAGTTAAGGACTACTGCGAACTTGAAGTTGATTCGGATGCGCTGGTTAGTGAACGATCGAGATTTATTCCGGCCGACGATTGTATACTCCCGCCCGAAGTTGTCACCTACTCGTCCTTTTTGAAACCGGTTAACAGGGGTCCGCGCGTCCTGTCCGTAGCTCAACTGGTCTGTCCGTCGGCATCCGTTGGTGCCAGGGTTCGATCCCAGTCGGAGGCTTTTGGCTCCGGTCTGCAAGCGGACAGTAACCCGTGTCCGGAACGCAAATCCAGCAAGTTTGGACCCAGCAGGTCATCCTGTCTTCCAAAACGCAAACTGATCACATTAGATGGAGATCCTGCCCACTATTGACTATTTATGCGATGCTTCGTAGCCAGAACTACTTCCGATCCAACTTCTCTTCAAACAGTTTCTTGATGCTCTGGCCACCGCAGAGGATAATCAACGGTGCCCTATCTGCTGCGTCGAGCAGGGTGGATAGGGGTTTAGATGCTACTGCTCAAGCCTTCCCGTCTTCTAATTCCCCCTCTTACGCTTTTTCACTCTTACCGTCCCCTTCCAACTTCACTTATATCCCCCCAGTTTTCACCCCCCCTCGCGATTCTTAGCCCTCCCCCAACATGCTTTGCTAGGCATTTATCTTCTAATTTCAACTCACATGTGAACGCGGAGCGTCACTCCTCTCCTGTCGACAAGCCCATGTCCAACCAAGCGGTCCATTCCAGTTCATCGGCTTCCATTTGGAGTCCTCGATCCTCCTTCAGATTGGCATGCCTCATTGTACGCACGCTGCTACAAATCGGTCAACAGGCAGCACTTGCCCGAACATTAGAGACCCTTTCAATCGATATCTGCTGCTTATCAGAGACCCGCCTGCAAGACTCGAGCTCTGTGCTCACTCTGCGATCCCCTTCAGGTGACGCAAGCAGTACTTTCTCATTGCGCCTATCCGGTGACGATGCAGCTTCGAGTACCGGCCAAGCTGGTGTTGGCATTGCTCTGAGTCCCCGGGCTGAAGCTGCTCTGGTTGATTGGATTCCAATCAGTAGCCGGATGTGTACGGTCCGATTGGCTGGCTCGTTTAAAGCTTCGAAGTCGCGCGGGACTAATAGATGTCTATTCATCATCGCTGCCTACGCGCCCACAAACTGTAGCGATGATTCGGTAAAGAACGACTTATACCGCCAACTGACCCAGCTCCTTCGCCACAGAAGAAGTACGGACACTGTTGTGCTGGCGGGGAATATGAACGCACAAGTTGGAAAGTTGTCCACTGATGAAATGCATCTGGGCGGTCAACACGGTGTAGGCTCCCGTAATGATAACGGTGAGCGGTTACTTCATTTGGGTGAAGATGCTCGCTTATTTCTTGCGAGCACTAATTTCCGACACAGCATCCGCCGGAGGGTGACTTGGCGCCCACCAGCCTTGGACGCAGATCGATCACATCGCTATCGGTTACCGCTGGAGAGGCTGCATCCAGAATTGTCGCTCGATTTGGAGCGCATGTGTGGACACCGATCATGCACTTGTATGTGCTGACATGCGGATGCGCTTTGGCGGACGCCCAAGACGATGTTGTGAGCGCACTGACACCAGCCAACTGACAAAGCCAGCTGTTCTGAATGCGTATCGAAGTACGCTGACATGCGAGTTGAGTAATCGCTCACTGGAGACAATTGATGGTCACTGGTCACATGTTCGCCAGACCTTACTAGCAGCAGGCAAATCCTCATGTGGTATGTCTAATAGCCAACGTGGACATTGGGTCTCTTCTCGGTCTCTGGAACTTATCGAGGCTCGCCGGCATATCCCGGCTGGAAGTGAACACAATGAAACTCGCAAAGAGCTCCGGAGAAAGCTCCGTGCTAACCTGAAGAGAGACCGCGAAACTTGGTGGTCCTTTCGTGTGTCAGAGATGGAAGTGGCTGCTGCCCTTGGTAACCATCGTAAGTTATTCCGTCTGATACGGGAAACAGGTAGCAGGAGACCTGGTGTTAGTGGAACTATACGTAACGAGAGTGGACAGCCTATCCACAATTTGTCAAAACGTTTGGAGCGTTGGGCTGAGCAGTTTGAAAAGCAATTTAATCGGCTAGAATTGTTCGATTCGCCGGTCACTGATCGCCCTGCTCCGTGGGCTGTCCCTTTGGATCCGCCATCTCGCTCAGAAGTCGAACGTGAGATCTGACTGTTGAAGTTGAACAAAGCCGCGGGACCAGATGATCTTTCTCCAGTCCTCTTCAAATTCGGAGGATCTGCTCTTGTTGATGCTTTACATGAATTACTAGTGAAACTGTGGGAGCGGGAGACTGTCCCAACCGACTGGAGCCGCTCCGTTATTGTTCCCATCTTCAAAGGCGGCTCGCGCTCGGAATGCGGCAACCATAGAGGATCAGTCTGATCTCCATCGCCTCCAAATTACTCGCGTCCATAATTCTCCACAGACTGACTGGCGCTCGTGAAAGCCAGATTCGTGAGGAGCAAGCCGGGTTTCGTCGTGGTCGCGGCTGCATCGACCACATCTTCACCTTGCGTCAGTTGTTGGAGCACCGTCACACATATTGGCGGCCCACCGTAGTCGTGTTCCTCGATAGCAAAGGTGCCTTCGATTCGGTTGATCGATGTGCCCTTTGGAATTGTCTACTAAGGAAAGGTGTGCCCGAGAAATATGTAAATATTATCCAAGCATTATATGCGCGTAGCACGGGCAGAGTGAGGGCTTACGGCAAGCTGTCGCCACCCTTCAATATCTCCAGCGGTGTGAGACAAGGATGCCCGCTGTCACCTTTCATCTTCAACTTCGCTATTGACGAAGTCATGGAGATTGCATTTACAGGACATGACTTGGAAGATGTGAAGCTACTCCCAGGAGAACGACTTCTTGATTTGAACTATGCAGACGACATTGCCCTCATCTGTGACAGCTCCCAGACGTGCCAAGCCGCGCTGGACAGATTAGCACTCGCTGTCAGCCGCTTCGGGCTTTGCTTTGCACCATCGAAATGCAAAGCGTTCCTCCAAGATTGGCAGGGATCGCCTCCTGCGCTGACCCTTGGTGGGGACCAGCTAGAAGTCGTTCAAAAATTCAATTACCTGGGAAGTTGTATCAGCACCCTTGGGATCGAAGACGAGATCACGAACCGTATAGCGAAAGCTCGAAG